CTGTTCAAGGTAAGATTGTGATTGAATGTGTGCTGTTCAAGGTAAGATTGTGATTGAATGTGTATTGTTCAAGGTAAGATTGTGATTGAATGTGTGCTGTTCAAGGTAAGATTGTGATTGAATGTGTGTTGTTCAAGGTAAGGTTGTGATTGAATGTGTATTGTTCAAGGTAAGGTTGTGATTGAATGTGTGCTGTTCAAGGTAAGGTTGTGAAGTAGGAATGCTCACATTTATTTCAGCAGAAGAATCATTACCATAACGGTAAATTTAACCTTTAAGGTAAGGTCAACCTTGAAATTCAACAAGACAGCAAATACTTTTAAATAATGTTATTATAGACCTGATATCTTCTTCAATTCTACAGTGTGTCAAATGTACGGTGTTATGCAATGTGAAAATAACACTGCTTATTTGTATGTAGTTTAAGGTAGAGACATAGAAGGTGTTCATTCTGAATGTGAACATTTCTATTTACTTTAATTCAGATGAAAGTACATCTACGGACATGTATCTCAATAGCTAGCAGTAAATCTTCCCTCAGGATGTCTGTGTATGGCCAAAGTCACCTGTCTACCACTGATTCTATGTATTTTAAAAGTTAACAAAGCAAAGTATTGCAAGGCAATCCATAGTACCCCTCTGGTATTGATTTCTATATTTAACAAACAGTACACTTATGTCAGGAAGCATCGGTCAAAGTGAGGTCACTCCGCCATCCCAAGATGTCCATGTAAATCAAATCTGGTTACTCCAGGTAAAATAGTATACAAGATATGCTCCAGACATGTAGGTGTGTCCCTAAATCATTACTTACCCCAGTAGATGTCATTAGTTTAGGTTGTATATGTAGGTGCGTCCCTAAGTCATTACTCACCCCCAGTAGATAACATTAGTTTAGGATGTACATGTAAGTGTGTCCCTAAGTCATTACTTACCCCCAGTAGATGTCATTAGTTTAGGATGTACATGTAGGTGCGTCCCTAAGTCATTACTTACCCCCAGTAGATGTCATTAGTTTAGGATGTACATGTAGGTGTGTCCCTAAGTCATTACTTACCCCCAGTAGATGTCATTAGTTTAGGATGTACATGTAGGTGTGTCCCTAAGTCATTACTTACCCCCAGTAGATGTCATTAGTTTAGGATGTACATGTAGGTGTGTCCCTAAGTCATTACTTACCCCCAGTAGATGTCATTAGTTTAGGATGTACATGTAGGTGTGTCCCTAAGTCATTACTTACCCCCAGTAGATGTCATTAGTTTAGGATGTACATGTAGGTGTGTCCCTAAGTCATTACTTACCCCCAGTAGATGTCATTAGTTTAGGATGTACATGTAGGTGTGTCCCTAAGTCATTACTTACCCCCAGTAGATGTCATTAGTTTAGGATGTACATGTAGGTGTGTCCCTAAGTCATTACTTACCCCCAGTAGATGTCATTAGTTTAGGATGTACATGTAGGTGTGTCCCTAAGTCATTACTTACCCCCAGTAGATGTCATTAGTTTAGGATGTACATGTAGGTGTGTCCCTAAGTCATTACTTACCCCCAGTAGATGTCATTAGTTTAGGATGTACATGTAGGTGTGTCCCTAAGTCATTACTTACCCCCAGTAGATGTCATTAGTTTAGGATGTACATGTAGGTGTGTCCCTAAGTCATTACTTACCCCCAGTAGATGTCATTAGTTTAGGATGTACATGTAGGTGTGTCCCTAAGTCATTACTTACCCCCAGTAGATGTCATTAGTTTAGGATGTACATGTAGGTGTGTCCCTAAGTCATTACTTACCCCCAGTAGATGTCATTAGTTTAGGATGTACATGTAGGTGTGTCCCTAAGTCATTACTTACCCCCAGTAGATGTCATTAGTTTAGGATGTACATGTAGGTGTGTCCCTAAGTCATTACTTACCCCCAGTAGATGTCATTAGTTTAGGATGTACATGTAGGTGTGTCCCTAAGTCATTACTTACCCCCAGTAGATGTCATTAGTTTAGGATGTACATGTAGGTGTGTCCCTAAGTCATTACTTACCCCCAGTAGATGTCATTAGTTTAGGATGTACATGTAGGTGTGTCCCTAAGTCATTACTTACCCCCAGTAGATGTCATTAGTTTAGGATGTACATGTAGGTGTGTCCCTAAGTCATTACTTACCCCCAGTAGATGTCATTAGTTTAGGATGTACATGTAGGTGTGTCCCTAAGTCATTACTTACCCCCAGTAGATGTCATTAGTTTAGGATGTACATGTAGGTGTGTCCCTAAGTCATTACTTACCCCCAGTAGATGTCATTAGTTTAGGATGTACATGTAGGTGTGTCCCTAAGTCATTACTTACCCCCAGTAGATGTCATTAGTTTAGGATGTACATGTAGGTGCGTCCCTAAGTCATTACTTACCCCCAGTAGATGTCATTAGTTTAGGATGTACATGTAGGTGTGTCCCTAAGTCATTACTTACCCCCAGTAGATGTCATTAGTTTAGGATGTACATGTAGGTGTGTCCCTAAGTCATTACTTACCCCCAGTAGATGTCATTAGTTTAGGATGTACATGTAGGTGTGTCCCTAAGTCATTACTTACCCCCAGTAGATGTCATTAGTTTAGGATGTACATGTAGGTGTGTCCCTAAGTCATTACTTACCCCCAGTAGATGTCATTAGTTTAGGATGTACATGTAGGTGTGTCCCTAAGTCATTACTTACCCCCAGTAGATGTCATTAGTTTAGGATGTACATGTAGGTGTGTCCCTAAGTCATTACTTACCCCCAGTAGATGTCATTAGTTTAGGATGTACATGTAGGTGTGTCCCTAAGTCATTACTTACCCCCAGTAGATGTCATTAGTTTAGGATGTACATGTAGGTGTGTCCCTAAGTCATTACTTACCCCCAGTAGATGTCATTAGTTTAGGATGTACATGTAGGTGTGTCCCTAAGTCATTACTTACCCCCAGTAGATGTCATTAGTTTAGGATGTACATGTAGGTGTGTCCCTAAGTCATTACTTACCCCCAGTAGATGTCATTAGTTTAGGATGTACATGTAGGTGTGTCCCTAAGTCATTACTTACCCCCAGTAGATGTCATTAGTTTAGGATGTACATGTAGGTGTGTCCCTAAGTCATTACTTACCCCCAGTAGATGTCATTAGTTTAGGATGTACATGTAGGTGTGTCCCTAAGTCATTACTTACCCCCAGTAGATGTCATTAGTTTAGGATGTACATGTAGGTGTGTCCCTAAGTCATTACTTACCCCCAGTAGATGTCATTAGTTTAGGATGTACATGTAGGTGTGTCCCTAAGTCATTACTTACCCCCAGTAGATGTCATTAGTTTAGGATGTACATGTAGGTGTGTCCCTAAGTCATTACTTACCCCCAGTAGATGTCATTAGTTTAGGATGTACATGTAGGTGTGTCCCTAAGTCATTACTTACCCCCAGTAGATGTCATTAGTTTAGGATGTACATGTAGGTGTGTCCCTAAGTCATTACTTACCCCCAGTAGATGTCATTAGTTTAGGATGTACATGTAGGTGTGTCCCTAAGTCATTACTTACCCCCAGTAGATGTCATTAGTTTAGGATGTACATACAGGTGCGGCCGTAAGTCATTACTTACCCCAGTAGATGTCATTAGTTTAGGTTGTTTATGTAGGTGTGTCCCTAAGTCATTACTCACCCCCAGTAGATGTGATTAGTTTAGGATGTACATGTAGGTGCGTCCCTAAGTCATTACTTACCCCCAGTAGATGTCATTAGTTTAGGATGTACATGTAGGTGTGTCCCTAAGTCATTACTTACCCCCAGTAGATGTCATTAGTTTAGGATGTACATGTAGGTGTGTCCCTAAGTCATTACTTACCCCCAGTAGATGCCAGCGGTGCTGATAATGGGTGTCTCCCCCAAGGTAGTTACTTCCCCCAAATGTTTTGTCATGTGTGCCCTCATGGATATCAGGTATGCAATATCTGCAGATATGTCCAAGTCAGAACAACATCATTTTTAAATGTTTGATTAATTAAGCAACACAGTAAACAGGGACTTACATAGGTACAATGTATTTCCCCTCCCTTGAGAACTATGCATGCAAGGATTTTAATTAGAAAATTATCAAGTTTAACCTTCTGACCTTACCCAATTATGCACGCATATGCTTTTTAATTTAATCAGTTGAAATCATCTCAGACACAATCAAATTGTAAAAAAAATCCAAAGTTTACAAGGGAAATGTTGAAAGTGAAAAATAGTGCAGAATTTAAATCGTAATCTGCTGGTTTTGGAACTGCAACTTTGTAGTCCATGATAACTGTACTTATTTGTGGCATCAAAACATTTTAGTATATGTAACCCCCAGGTATTCATCCCCTTTTTTTTATATTTTCCATGTGATATCACTATAAATGTTAATGAATTCCCTCTCTTAAGGTTAACTGAGATAAAGGTGGTAGAATTTAGATCCCTCTAGGGTACGACTTCACACAATATATGTATGTAGCATATTATGTGAACTTATATAAGTAAAACTTTCTTTGTATCCTTTACATAGATTAAATTTAGAAGTGTTTGCTCAGAATCACCTACACAAACATGCAACATGCAAAACTTTTAAAACACAACTGTATTTTTAAGCCTTACCTGAGCATGGGGATCTCAGCCAGAGCTACCTGTATGTTTGAAGCCTTACCCAAGCACGGGGATCTCAGCCAGAGCTACCTGTATGTTTGAAGCCTTACCTGAGCATGGGGTTCTAAGCCAGAGCTACCTGTATGTTTGAAGACTTACCTGAGCATGGGGATCTCAGCTAGAGCTACCTGTATGTTTGAAGCCTTACCTGAGCATGGGGATCTAAGCCAGAGCTACCTGTATGTTTGAAGCCTTACTTGAGCATGGGGATCTAAGCCAGAACTACCTGTATGTTTGAAGCCTTACCCAAGCACGGGGATCTCAGCCAGAGCTACCAGAATGTTTGAAGCCTTACCTGAGCATGGGGATCTCAGCTAGAGCTACCTGCAGTTTGGCTTCCTTAGTTTTAGCATGTTCCTTAAATATCTGTAGGACCACTGTGTACCTGATCCAATAAAACACAATGTAACATTATAACTGTCTGTCCAATTTATTTATCCTAGTGGAACCAATGATAGTGGATGTAATCAACACAGATGTGTGAATTGACTAGTGTTTACCCTAGTCAGGAACTATCCTTTTTAATACATGAAGGATGAGGTCAATATATCAAAATATATACAACAGGATAACAATGTCCTTACTGAAGATGATGAGACTGTTAGCGTACCTGTCAATGATGGGTATGTTACTTTACCTGTCAATGATGTGTATGTTACCTTATATTACCTGTCAATGATGGGTATGTTACCTTATATTACATGTCAATGATGGGTATGTTACTTTACCTGTCAATGATGGGTATGTTACCTTATATTACCTGTCAATGATGGGTATGTTACTTTACCTGTCAATGATGGGTATGTTCCAGAGATCCTGGAGGCTGGACACCTGTGAGGGAGCCAGTTTGTTGGTACTTAGGAACACCATGCTGATGTGTTTATTATTGGTGATTTCCTCAGTCAGCTGAGCCAGACGTCCTGGACTGAACACATGAGACAGCTGGTGGTTCTGTACTGGGACCACCATCTGACAGGTAAAAATACACAGTATTTCACTATTGGAGGGAACACATGAGACAGCTGGCGGTTCTGTACTGGGACCACCATCTGACAGGTAAAAACACATAGTATTTCACTATTGGACTGAACACATGAGACAGCTGGTGGTTCTGTACTGGGACCACCATCTGACAGGTAAAACACACAGGAGTTCACTATTGGACTGAATACATGAAACAGCTGGTTGTTCTGTACTGGGACCACCATCTGACAGGTAAAAACACACACTAGTTCACTATTGGAGGGAACACATGAGACAGCTGGCGGTTCTGTACTGGGACCACCATCTGACAGGTAAAACACACAGTAGTTCACTATTGGACTGAATACATAAGGCAGCTGATGGTTCTGTACTGGGACCACCATCTGACAGGTAAAAACACACTGTAGTTCACTATTGGAGGGAACACATAAGACAGCTGGTGGTTCTGTATTGGGACCACCATCTGACAGGTAAAAACACACAGTAGTTCACTATTGGAGGGAACACATGAGACAGCTGGTGGTTTTGTACTGGGACCACCATCTGACAGGTAAAAACACACAGTAGTTCACTATACGACTGAACACATGAGACAGCTGGTGGTTCTGTACTGGGACCACCATCTGACAGGTGAAAACACACAGTAGCTTACTATTGGACTGAACACATGAGACAGCTGGTTGTTCTGTACTGGGACCACCATCTGACAGGTAAAAACACACAGTAGCTTACTATTGGACTGAACACATGAGACAGCTGGTGGTTCTGTACTGGGACCACCATCTGACAGGTAATAACACACAGTAGTTCACTATACGACTGAACACATGAGACAGCTGGTGGTTTTGTACTGGGACCACCATCTGACAGATAAAAACACACAGTAGTTCACTATCGGACTGAATACATAAGACAGCTGTTGTTTCTGTACTGGGACCACCATCTGACAGGTAAAAACACACAGTATTTCACTATAACTTCTTAATGTACACAAGTAGTCAAAGGCTGATTTATATAAAGCTGTTGTTACAAGTTTAATTTTCATCACATGGTAAGATTCTTGTAGCATCAGCTTTGGCAACCAAACTGATTACATATATATACTGCAATGCGTTTTCAGTTACAAACACAATTTAACACAGCCCAGAGATGTTTTTCTCCCTCCATGTACACACTGATAATCCAGTTCATTGATTTACCTGCATAATATTTAGTTCAGTTCAATAAAACATGGTTTTACTTCCCCTAACAATCTATGGAAGCTATTAGGGTTTTGATTTTAGTTCCAAATAGAAGAGGATTTAAAAATAACGAATTGTTTTCAAGTTTTGTATTTTCTTTTCCTCAGATGTGGTCTGTCAATTTCATTCACTGACTGATGTACATTTACCGACACATAATCAACATGAAAGGTGTCCATTTGATTGGTAAATAGACACGTCAAAGAATTACCAAAGGTCCATTTGTTAAGGGGAAATCTCTGAGAACTTTCAATTGTCTGTGTACAGTGACAAATGATAGCTGACATTCGTAATTTAATTAATGATTAATAGTATTTATTGTCACGATTGCATGTATCTAATAGTAAATTAAAAATGGAATCTACTGTACATGATATCTTACTTTCTGCACCACTTTCCACCTGGGCAGCGTCTCCACCAGGGCACAGGCCTCGGCCAGCTGGAGGACCGGGGTCGTAAGGGAGGACTTGTCTCCACCCTTCATGTCTGAAACAAGTAAATTAGAAAACTATTACAGCTACATTTGTCTAGAAACATTTCAATTACAGCATTCTGTCTAAACTAGTTTGTCTTTCAACAAGATATCAATATTCATCTATGCCTGTATTTACCTGTCATGACTGTATCACAGTAACCTTTGTCCCATACAGGGAGGCTGCAGTACTAACAATGTATTTACCTGTCATG